TAACATTTAAATATTTTTACCGTTCATAATATTATACAATTTATGGTATAGAAATATGTACTAGTAATGGGGGCATGTTATCAAACAATCCTCTATAATTATGCAGGTAGGCATCTATTTTTAAACTTATTGCTAATTATTTATTTTTATCATGCAACGGTTATGTCGCTTTTATACAAGAATTATAATTATAAGTTTTTAGTCTCTCAGTAGCTTGGTTTACTGTCATGAATATATATTTGTATATCTGTAATCTTACTAATAAGCTATTGTAACTAGACGATGTCTGTACATGATGGGAGATATTTTAGAAAAAAATAATATGAGGGGTCTTTCATAAGACTAACAGAGGCCAAAATAATAATTTTTAGACATTATGTCTGTCTGTATGTTTATTCTGGAATCAAGCAAAAACTACTGACACAGATTGCATGAGGCATGTTTTATATCTATACATAATCTATAAGTTGTCTGTTTCATTGGTTTTCCTACTTCTGAAGCGACGCGTTCGAAGTAGCGAATGTACTCAAAGCTAATTATGATAAACTAAAATAACGTCTACTTGACACCTTAACAGCTTACAATTAAATTTGACATATAAGCACTATTTGAAATACAAAGATATAGGCTAATATTTCTAATTGTCGGAATGTAATAATTATTATATCCCGGTCATGCGGACGAAGTAAAAATCATCATAGACCCTTCCAGATATCCTGTTAAATGTTTACAATAACATTCTACATTGGTGACTTTAAGACAATTATTAACAAGAAAAACAAGCAGACTCGGTAATTAAAACTGCATCGCGTTCCGCACGACTTCAGTACTGGAAACAAACGAGGTCAAATGCAACAACACCCGCCTAGAAGACTATTAATCGTTTTTGAATTTTCTACAGTTGTAATGTATTATGAGAATGTACAAGAGTTATTCAAAAAGAAAAAAATAATAAGTTGCACATCAAAATTTTTCTGCCTATTCTTCGTCGTTAGTCTTTTCTGTGCCTATTTATATGTCAGATTTAATTTTAAAAATAAATTTACAACAATACTTTAATAATGCTAAGGCCATATAAAGTTGTTTTATGTACCATAATATTATTATCCCTCAAAGTACAAATTTAAGATAATATTTACCGATTAGTCCCACCGAACAAATCTCTTATGGCTAATGTAAACAATTAATAATCTGAGTCGTATTATTTTTAATTTGAAATTACGAAACAATTATAATAACCACTCTAGTCGGGGTTATTTTAAACATTTAATAGTATTTACTGTCTAGAATTTTCTTTACCTTGTTTTGTAGTTACAATCATTTATAAATAAAATAGTCAATGAAATCCAAGGACTGCAGGATCATTAAAAGGTTGTCGTTCTGATTGCCTACTAAGGTAATACTGACCATGCTCATATTTGGTCGCTGCTTTCTTTATATTTGTATTTGAAATTTAAATCTTATATGTGGTTCAGTGTGACTTTTGAGTTTCACTGGTAAAACACTTCCGTAAAAAGATGTCAATAATTACGATTTAACCCTTTATAAAATGATTACCTTAAATCTTAATATTTTATCTAAACAATTAAATTATGTCAAGCAACAACACTGTTAACTTATTGAGTCAACGTGGTTCTCTTTTAACTCTTTTTTTTTTAAATTGTAATATAAGTTTGCCTACTGAAAATGAATACGCCTAATGCCATCCCAGTAAAACCGGTGAGCTTACAGGAAAACGGTTCCAAGACAAACAAATAAATTGCTAGATAAATATTAATATGGTGTTAAGTTCCTAAGCTTTGTGTGTGGCTGTCGTAACGTTGACCACGAACGCGCAACAAATAACTATTTCTTAGTTGCAGCTTACTTAACGGGTCGCGATGAGTTGGACAGACACCCCAACTCACCTAATGTTTCAAATAATTTATGACAAATGGTATGTTATAATCTTTTTGCAAGATATAAGAAAACAATTATACAATATGTTTAACTCTAGCTAACTTTAATTTTACAACAGAAAATAAAAATATAAATAATATTAAATAAATGTAAGGCAAAAATTACAGTAAAACTAACAGTGGCATGCAATGAAGCTTGGTTATTCGACGCACTCCCCGACGCAGGAAGTTGGCTTGTTCGCCGAATCATTTACGACGTCAACGCGAACGACATTGTGATGCGGCATTCTGATCAACTATTATCATTAAACATTTTACATTTACCAAGACAATCTATAGTATTTCTTTGCTGCTTGCTCAATATAAAAGGTTTCAAATGGACCCTCGATTCTAATACCATTTATTGCGTACAAACTGCATCATATTACTTATGCAGGTTCTTTGCTTTGAAAGTAATTTTAGAACCGATGTCCTCGAATTGCAATACAAATATACAAATGCCATATGGGTATATGTAAGGTTTATTACCCGCAGATATGGTAATTTTATAGACGGTTATCAATATTTAATGTAAATAATGCTGTAAAATTTGAAATAACCATGTAAAATATTATACTCTTGTTATAATAAGTATAACGTGGCAGATAATTATGCCTTATTGGATTCGATTTTAATTTAAATAGTTTTTATTGTTTAATTTTTTCACAATAGAAAAAATACACATTTTTTGCGGAGCAAAATCTAATTGTTGAACATAATACACACATATACTACAAAGATATTAAATGTGCTATGTAGTAACCGCATAATTATAGTATACATAACGCGATATGTAGTCTTTACGATGTACCTAAGTAATTACTTCTGCTATTCTGGATCAACTTTTCAAAAGTAACTGAAACCATTTACTAATTAAATTTCAGAATGCGCAATAAATTAACCTTGGTAATTCTTCCTTCTCTGTTACCACTCTTCGTATGAATATAACGGTTGATCGAATAACAATTAGCAAGTTTGCCGATGCCCATTTATAAGCCAAGCACGTGTTGCAGTATCTCTTGTTCAACTAACGGTGTGTATATTATATGTACATACAAAATCTGATAATGATGAGTGAACCAAACTAAGTATTAATTAGGATTTAAAACTAAGACCACCTCTAATGCAATTTAGAAATCCAATATCGTCCCGGAATTCTCAGTATCCAATTGACCTAGCATTGATGATGTGTGAGCCGGAGCGTGCCACTAACGGCTTCTAAAAACCCACATTTCCCGGTAAAGGCGACCGACATCACCGACTTTGGAGACAGGATGCATCCGAGTTCACCGGCCTGCTCCCCCTTCCCCTATACAATGTAAACCTACACTCCACAGACATAAATTGTGGTTTTAAATGGATAGTTTTGTTTAACAATGTCTGTAGGGAATAAGAGGGCCTAAGTACCTAAACTCGCCTCGATTCATTGAAGCAGGTACTAGTTGGCAATGTCACCTTAAATAAACCCATTCAAATAAAACTTGGGTTTTATTGTTAAAAGATTCATCTTACGCAACTTATGACATACGAGTATATCAGTTCAAAATTATCATGACATCGGCTTTCACAAAACATACGATCGTCAGATACTATCAAAGTTAGTAGTTTCAATGAAATGATTCTACAGCACAAACAAGCTCAAGCGGTCATTGACTGGCATTGCATAAGGCACGCGAGTGTCGCTCGCGTGTTAGGGCGGATCATCTTCATAGGTAAGTAGGGTTCTAGGGCTTTCGAGTTTGATTTAAGAGAGAGCAGTGCCCCAGTTCGCGTGTTCCATTAAGGTCACTGCAGACGATGTGTCGCGGCATGCGTATATTGCCCCTTATCCACAGCTTAAACTAGACAAGGTGCATCTTGTAAATTTGCTCTAAATGAGTACAGAATTTCTAATTATCTTTAAGTCATTTAAATTGTTAAGAAGAAGTGTTTATCTTGCTTATCTTTTAATTTATATGCTCTACTGTATATTAAAACTTAAAAGATTCAGTACGTCATTCAGGTTACATTTGATCGGTATCATCAATGTTTGAATCCTTTGAGTTTGTCAGATGTATTCAGCAGATACAAACTCGTAGATTTCTTTTACATAATTAAAATCTAATTACTGTATGAGTAGTTCGAATAGCCAGTTACACTCCATGATCCGCCCTGTCGCCACGTTAATGATAGCTTCCCTAATAGTCGAGAGTCGAATGCTGGGGAAAATTCGCGTCGCACGAGCAGGCCGCTGATTAAACCGCCACTGGCGCCAGTGATGTATTAGCTCGCGCCGCGGATATACTGTGGTATAATATATATCCATAAGATTTGTGGTTTACTAATAGCTACATTTAATAATCTTATGCTAGTTAAAGCAGATCTAGAATGAGATCAAGTACTGGCTAGAAATATTGCAGAGATTTGCAAATTCTTTATTTGAACAGTTCTATATATAGTAAAGGCCTAAGCAGACACGATGCTTTTGGCATCGGCAATAGGGAATTTAACGATTCTATATATAAATTTATGTACTATCTACCTATCAAGTAAATTGAAACAGTTACTTATGTTTTACTGTTTGCTATAATAAGAACAAAGCTTGCAAAAAGTTTGTACTTGCTATATTATATCGCCGATTCTTCAAGTACACGGTAAAACTAAACAATTGTTGTTCATGTTGTTTCTGTGTTATAAACATAAACATGTTATAAATAAATAAATTAGTAATGTATAATTGTATAATTTTCCTATGGCTCCGCCATACACGTATTATACAGTAGCTGCATTTAATTCCCATGACCGCCGCAACCGCAATTTCTAAATGTGCGCATTCAGATGCATCACCGAACTTTGGAAAACTAATCAAGTCATTTGCTTATATTAAAATTATAGAAAAGTGTCATTGTTGTTTATATAATTATGCCGAGTTAGTCTTCAACAGTTTTTCATAAACATTGTACTTATGAAGAAGATTAATAAGAAATTATTCTATATACTTTTTTATTATACTAGGTTTGTTACGGATTTGTTAAATAGTCTAATGAAATTCGCAGGTAAACTTTACAAATATTTATTCTCAAATGATTTTATAATCAAAGTCAGTCATTATAGTAGACTTTATTTTGGTACCTATTTATTACTATTTACAGTGATTCTCTTGGTGTTATATTATTTATGATTCACTTATTACACTTAGCTACTGTCAACTAATGAACTTTGAATGTAACAATCTACAAACACATGTGGTTGAGAATATAAAAAACTTTACCTCCCTTTAACTTTGTTAGTCGTGAAAAATAATTGTCTTTACTTTCACATGCGATCCCAGTGGCGCCGATGTCTGTATAGCCTGCGATTATTTTTAGATTAGAAATGGCTCAACCGCTTTACGTAATTGCACTAGTCGCATGCGCAGCTAGTTCCAGAGTTTGCAGCTAAATATAGTCACAGTGGTGGTATGCAATTATACCTTATTATCGCATGTTTCCACTGGAAGCTTTGCCGCGTCTTGCCACAGTTATTACTTGTAGCAGTTTCTTTAGAAAGTGTCAGATGTGACGAAACTGAAACAAGTATGTTGGGCAGATTACAGAATGACCGGTGAACAGTTTCCCTTGCACTCGAAGCATGCGTAATGTCGCGTGCATGCCCTAAGTAACTCCGACACTATTTTAACACAGCTTCGTGTAAATTACAACAAATTAAACTAACAGATTGCAGTGCAACTACTTAGCCGCTAGTTGCAAAACATAATTGTTATTATTATGCGGACTAAACGTAGTCACACTCGTATAATTAATAAAAAATATTCATTTCTTTTTCTCCCTGCTGGCTTATAACATCGAACTTTGAAATAACTTAGGAACGTACTTTCTTACTAATACATTACCTTATTTACTTTTAGATAAAAACAATGAAGTTTAAACAGATGTTGCCCAAAGTAATCTGCGCACCGTTCAACACACCTATGTCATGGTCGATTTTGTATAGACCAACGCCAAGACCGTGAAAACGACTTGACACACATTCTATCTGGTACGAAATGGCTGCAAGTGATGGCACTTTCAATTATCGCTGCACCGTGTGGGCGTCCGGCACGCCGACGTTGATTATTGATCATTTTTGACTGCAGTGTTTTCGCTACATTATTTTATGAATACTTTCTCTTGTTCCCAGTTTGCTTTTTTTTTGTTTTGCATTCTAACAATCTCAAATGCGCCTGTCATTCAAGTCATTTTCACTGTCTCCTAATATGTCATAACGTTGTTATTGCTAATCTTAATTACAAATTTAAATCAAATAGGATTAGACGTTGCATTACAAATTAATATTCAGTGATCGGCCGATCGGCAAATGTGTTTTTAGATGTCAATTTGAAAATAATTGCAAAAAATCCCGCCAATTACTGTTAGTGATATGTCTCACGTGGTTCGGATCCTGGTACTGCCAGCTGTCGTTGAGATGTGATGTAAAGGCTTTCAGTGAATCGCTCAGCTCGTAAATTTCCATTGACCCAGATATGATGTGATTAGAAACGTACGTACGTCGACGTACAGCGAAAATGATATTTTTTGCCAGTGCCAATTTATCGGTAATGGAGCGTCGCGCACGCGAGATGTGATGCGACATCCGCAAGTGAGAGTTTTGCGTCTTGTCACCGAAACTGGTATGGGTACCGTGAATGTAATTATTGCTTAGAGAGTATTGATACGTCCGGTACGGGCTGTCAGCAAAAGTGTAAGTGAGGTCGTTCATTAAACCCTACCACATAAACATCTTACGCCATAATTTTTTGACATCCACCTGATTACCGCCCGTATTTTTTATAAGTACGTAATGTAAATTTATTTGCGCTTGGAAACACCCGGACGCAAATTATAGATGTGGATTGATAAAATAGCATACGAATTAGAGTGTTCAAATGAATTAGATAAGAGGGGTTCTCTTATCTAATTCATTATAATACTAAAATTGATTTAGTGATAGAGTTAGGTACTACTTACAACTAAATCCACTGGTGCATTCTAACAACGTTCATAAGTCGTAATTATTTTTTTTACACGACTGAAACCTTTAAAACTGTCTATAGCTCTCTTTAAAAGCCTAAAGCTTACTTGATATAAATTTTCGCTAAAAAATAGATATACTATGTCGCCCATGACCTTAGATTTGCTACCCATGAGGCAAGTTCATGAACGACACAGTATATTCTCTTATATCCATGGTACTGATCATGTCTATAGGCGACAGTTACCAATTTCCATCAGGTAGGCCGATAGCTTGATTGCCATTCTAAGTTGCATAAAAAAGTCCTGAATGCTGATTTACTAAATAAATATTATTTAGCAAATTAGAAATATCTGATAATTTAACTGTCAAACAGCCTCTACACCATATTTCACAAATAAGATAAACGAATTTAATTTTATTAAAAATTGTACTAATTACCGGTCAACTAGGAAATCTCAAAATTATAAAGCCTACGGAACCTTAAAGAATTTTTTCATGTTCTCGTAAGATCACATTCGAATATTTTTGTGATAATTAAGAAAATTTGACTACAATAATAACTCTAATAACTTGTAGTATCCTATTGATAATATTAATATAAGACATTCCATGAATACCACCCAAATGCTTACATCATACGGTATGTTATGTTTATGACATAATCTAATATACATTCCTAAACTGACCATATACAATGATGCTCTACAGATTTGGTTTAATTGTCTGGTTTTTATGTGTATAGCATGCATCAGACGAATCGGGGGCGGGAAGTGGTAGTGCGGAGCGAACTACCTCGTGAGCTAGGTCGTTCAACGACCCGCGGTGCGCCGCGAGCCCGCGACCGCAGCACCGATTGTTTATACTCCACCATTATCTAAACAATGTTTTGCTACTTCGTGACATACCTTTGTAATCATTTTGAAATGTAGGTTAAGGCTCTTCTTTCTGTAATCTTGAGCTTTTGTGCACTGCCGTTTTTATTCATAACTCATAAATCACATAGGTTGGGTGTTGCTTCCCATAAATATAACTACAACAAATCGACGGATGACGCCATTCGAGCCAGTGATTGCCATTGCAAATATTGCTGTTCCGCAACGCATAAAGTATAAAATGGTTTCTACTCGATGAATTTTAACAACCAAAACATATTTTTGTATTCTAGATATAATATGACCTTTTTGGGTGCAGTAAATGTCTGTGGTGATATACTATATACTGTAATGTAATTGAAGAAACAACCAAAGAAAGGAGATTGAAAACTAACTTCTTTGGCATAGTAGAAGGATTATCCAGGGTCATTGTCACCTTATGGAAATTTAAGATACATCGGACCTGTGTCTTCTCGGTCGTATCTGAATTTCTTCAGATACTTATTCGTTATTTGACTTTTCATAATACAAACAATAGTTCTTTGAATATAAAGCATTCTATAGTGAAAACCATCCATTTTTGTTATAATCTGAAACTTATTAATTAAATTTATTATATTTGCTATTAATATATCAATTGATTGAAATATCTTTTTCTAACATTGCATTATCATAAAATATAATTTTATTTTTTTAATGAATGAATGATAACTTTATTTGCTCGAATACAGGTTAATACATTAGAAGTATTTAATGTTAAAGAAAAAACTTTGCATTCAACCCTGTTTATTATTATGGTGACATTCTTATAATATAGGTAATTGTGATGTTTATTCCATTTAAATGTTGTTCCTATAAATTTAAATGACAAATTGGAATTAGACTATCTGAATAATCATGCAGTAAATATAGATAGAGCTTATTTGAAATTTTGCACGACGAACAAGATAACAAAGAATTTTATGACAGTATGAGCATTTACAGAATATATAAATCAGTTAAAAAAACATCAATACCTTGAGTTGCTTAACAGAACAATATACCAATTCTTCCGTCCATTGACACGTGATTGTGTTTTAAATCAAACAGTAACGTTCTTGCTTCCTTTTTAGGATACTATTAAACAAAATTTTATTCGTCCTTGGCCGTATCTGTTATCCTATTATTGGAGCCTGCACAGATAGCATCTACTGTAGTCAGATAGAATTAAATACATGGAGATGCGCTTACGTATTTTACATAAATTTCATTACGTAATATTTGCGATTATGATTAATCGTCTATAAATGATTGCTTTGCTTTATATTTATTTTGGGATTGACACGTTGTCCTGTTACGTAATTTTCTAGTATATATTGTCTTGCTTTATTTTAATACACAAACCAAATTATAAAGTCAAATAATCTATTTCTATTCTAGTATTCTGCATCCGTACTTTCAAAAATGTCATTGAATATGAACATCTGTAAATTTAAAAAAGATTCACAATCCAAGTTCGCACGCTGTCACATAATTGCGTGATGAGGCGTAGCAGACTGGAGTCACAGTCTTTCAGGGTATGTGTCACATACTGTATATATAATATTAATTAACACATGCGCACTACGACTCTGTTGTCATATTACTTAAAAATAATTTACGACTCGACGAGTCTTTATTAAAACAGTGCGCCTCAAATAACATAGAGTTGCATTACATTTTCAATCTGTTTAGACGCGTCCTTTGCGGCTAGAAGCGAACTAGATACTTTCAACTTAATTTCCTAAAGCCATGAGTTCGCAGTACATTGTTTTTAGTTTTACGATGTTGTTTTATAATTTTTTTAGTTTATTTTTAAAGGTTGGAAGGGAGAATGCGGATCGCAGGACATATGCAGGCGCCGTTGAGTCGCGCCGCAACTTTCTACGCTCGCGTCTAGAACGCTCTTAAACCGTAATCTGCAGATTGACGCGTACTTGGAGAATGTTACGACAGGCAAATTAAAGTGCACATTTGCCACTAATAATGGTCGATTATCATTAAAATCTCCCCTTTTCTTTAGTCACAATCAATTTTATTGAAACATATTGCTTTTACAATTGTAAGATATGTTGTATTGGAAATTGCTCGTTAATAATCGCTTCTTGCTTGTTCACTCATAACGATGTGTGATTATAATTAATTACAGATGCTCTTTAAATCAAATTTATAGTACTAGAAGCTTCATAATTTTAGCAGTTTATTTTATCCCCTACTAAAAATGAGTTCTACGACTTGCACTTGCAGAATCAGGTATCTCTCGTTTCCAAGTGGATTCCAAAAACACCTTCTTAGTGCATTCTAAGTCGTACTGACATATATCAGAATCAATTTGCTGGAATTAAAATTTCTCATTGCATTGCCAAAGTATAAGTAATGGTATAATAATAGTGAGCAAATGGTATTATGTATTGAAAAAAAATACATTAATTGTGTCTTTGTGTACGATACTAATTATCAAAAACTAATTATCGAAGTTAATACCAACTCATCACAACCCATTTTTTATGGATGATAATGAATTGGTAATAAAGTCTTAGTACTAGTTTCCATAAGATAAAGATTACAGACAGCTTAGTTTAGAACATAATGCTTGCATTAAAATTTACATGTTTAATCATAATAGTTAATTTACCACCAAACTCAAACCCAGCTGATAAACATAATAGAGTCGGTATGGAAGTAAATCATCTAAAATAAATCTTAATATAAAATCCTGTTGTTATTAGAAAAACGGCGTTACCAAGTAAATAAGTAAAGTAGTAAATCAACAAGGTAAAAAAACAAGACGTCCAACAAATTGCCTATAGGCATCTAATTAAATCGTCGACACGTACGATCGTAACTACTGCTTTGAAACTTGCAATTTGTTGCGGCCATCTTTAATACATTGTTGATTTTATATAACTAGTTTAAAAATAGCGCACATGTAATGTCATAAATTCGACTACAAAATATCCAAATTGTCCATGTCAGTGCGGTATTTCACAGAGTATATTATTTATTGGATTAAGAACTTCAAGCTAAAGTTAAGCACAAATGGCGGTATTGGATTATAACCTAAACAAAATATAATAGCTATAGACTTGCAAAACTGTCATCTCAAAACACTTAATTACATAAAGTGTTTTATTCACATTTTGTTAGTGTATCAGGAAAAATTTAAAATTTCTATACTTCAAATCTGAACTTTAAAAACTTTCATATAAATCTTATATATCATATCGTATGAAATATGAATGGTTTGATCTTATTTCCACTTCCAAACTTTGCTTCTTCCTTAGTATCCTTTCCGTTTTACTAACATGTCTAAACTTCAAGGTAATTTAATACTGTACATATGGTATTATACATATAACAAGCTGCAAAAAATTAATTTGAAACAGTCAGTTGAACTCCATAAGAATTTTACAAGCATTCTGACAGGTCTACACTTGTGCCCATATTACAACTGAATTACATAATTGCAGCTGTTTGGTAATTCAATTTCAAATCTGTATTTCGTACCTATAAGAAAGACTACAACACGCTTTACAGATGTATATGTAAGGCATTTTTTAAAAATATTTCTTAAGATTAACTTAAAATATGGTGTGTTTCTACTTGATACGCCATCTAAAAGTGGTGTGTTTCATTGGTATTCCTACTTCTGAAATTCACGCGTAGAAAATAGTGGCCTAAAAGCTAGTAACTAATATAAGACCAACAAAGGTTATAGCAATTATCTCTATCAGTTGCAAAAAGAATTTATAAAATATCACGTTATATACAAGTACAAATAACATACACAAGACACTGACAATAACTTTTTAATCTTACAGATTATTAGATTACGTGAACACGGGCTTATATGAAATATTCAAAATATACTTTCACATTTTATCCCTTTGTTCATGTACATCGGGTAAAGTTATTCAGTTTCACGGTGCTATACTCATTAATTATTAATTGGCTGAAAACAAAACTTTATGCATCTATTATTCGTGTTCCAGTAAATTAACTAATTCGACAGACCCTTGTAGGCTCGCCCATCTGACCCTTGGATGCGCAGCACACTTTTCTGCAATGGAAACGAACGATAAATTGCATTAATTCAGGGTTTCTAATCGCGCAATTGTGATTAATTTGTGATCAATTTGTATCGGCCAGTCACCATCAGGAATAATATTTTCTTTATATACTTATTTTTATATGTAAATATAACACAGCCATAGATGTAGAATAATTATTATTATCATATATGTTAGTAAATAGTCGCCAAACTATATTGTCCAGCAATGTAATATTTACAAAGCTGTTACAAAACTGGGTCGAATTTCACATGAGCATTATCATCTCAAATCGATTTTGATTGTAATTAATCGTTTTGCTTCGTATAATCCGATCATTATAATTTATATGAAGTATGTACAAACGGTAGCGTTATTAATTGTATTTGTGAAGGTACGGTAATTTTATGATGTCGAGAAAAAATCGTGGTATGAAACGGGCGCCATATAGCGGCGCCAGTGGTGTCGCGCCGCTGACACTCGTCGACCGCTTCCTCGAACGATCATTCCTCGACACAAATTCGCTTACCAACACCTAATTAACATGGTTCATTACCCTCGTTGGTTTAGAATTGCGACAGAAGTGTCAATCCCGTTTTATCGTTCGAATGTCCTTTTAAAATAGTTCTAATAAATTTTATTTTAATTGTAATATCTCATTGGTAGCATAATCCCCCTTTTCATTAATCTTTAAATTTATTATTACCCTATACCATGTAGGGTTTTGCATATACCGCTAGCGCAGGCGGAATACCATTTCATTATCATACCATGTAGGGTCTGGTCTACGTGGTTGTTTAGAAAAACTATATATACTTTTAGTATAACAGGTGATGAGATTGTTTATAAAATTCAATGTTACGTGTTAGGTTATTATAACCACAGATTTCTGAATTCATAAAATTTTAAACTTCCCACTACGCTCTAGGTCCAATTTCGTCTAGCCGTATTTATATTATACTCATATGATGGTATCTCCCTAATGCATAAAAAACTTTAGCACATTTGTTTTGAAACTTGTTTAATCGGTAGTGTGTACGATTGATTGATTTTCTCTTCAGTTTTTTTATAATTTTTACTTATTATTCGTGTATATAGAACAAGAGAGAATTCTCGTTTCAATAGTTCTAAAACACATTGTATTCTTATCAATCTCCTCATCCTGCTGTGCAAATTTTTAAACTATTTCAAAGCAGGAGGTTCTCAATTATTTTTTATTTTTATTTTTGAAGCGAAAAGGAAACATTTAAAAACATTTCATTAATTGTTTTTGTCCTATTTTCTGTTTTTCTTCTTTTCATGGTCAGAGAGTGGTCAAATCACCACTGCTTTTATCTTAACAAACCTCCTTAGCTTTCCTCACTTTCATTCAGGTTCGTCGGTTGTTTTAAATACTTCTAATTTAAACAGAAGCCTTACAAAGGGTGACTGCAAAAAATCCATCTGCTTGATGTCTGTCCCACTATTGATTTTTCTGTCGGCAAGGAGGTTCGGTATATGGTAGTGAAATTACAGGGTCGAAGTTTAACACTTTACTCCGCAAAAGAGATACATAAGAGCATCACAGTGTATTCTATATAATATCTATAGTATAATAAATACTATATAAAATATGTAATGTTTGTCTTCAAATAACTTTCCGTAAGATGGGCCGTCAGCTCGTTGACTATTTCAAGTTGCATAAAAATATTCATACCTATAAATACATAATAACATGAACATATGATAATTCAAAATAATTTATTTAAGTACGCCTTTATTATTGTACACTGAGACCTAGATTTCGACTATGGCCATTGTTAAATATGCCCGTACATTATCGTAGTGACCTGCACATGAGACTGCATGCTCTAGTTATAATATATTACATTTAACACGTCTCGCCTGTTTGTATATTTTTAATGTTCTTCAATAAACTCAGTACTAAATATTTTTGAACGATATTATCTAACTTATACAGATGAGATACAGGCCTCAGGGCATTACGGGCGCGTTAAAAATCTTAAAAATAAAAAAGAAGGTAAATAAAAGCCAATAATAATTTCTAGATGAAGTGAAATAAAATTCAAAATTGAAAACCGAATACAAATGTAACAGAAATTGGTAGGTATAAAGATAACAAGAGACTAGACCGTATCGAATGAAAAAAAAAATCACCTAAACGGATCTGTAATTAGCGAAAATGTCGCTTAACATATTGACGTACAATAAAATACCATCTGTTTAAAAACCTGCTTCCCTTTAAAGTAGCCCAAAGATACGTTAATACAACTTTAGGTTCTGTTTTTGGAATAAATAATCATTTATGTTTACATGCATTATTTGTATGCGTTTGTAATGTCCTCATTATATCTCACGAGTACTAGCATTCCGATTTTAGCAACTTTGAAAGGATACTCCTGATTTTATTCCATTTCTCCCCAGTACTAAAAATCCCATTTTATTAACTCTGTCTGTAATTGAAAGAATACCCTTGGGCTTTTAGTATTTCTCTTTAGTACTAATGATGGTATTTCAATAATTTTATCTGTAATTGATGGAGTGCTTCTCGGCTAATTTTCTAATAGTGACGATGGAACTTCAATAAATCTGCCTATAATTAAAAGAATACTACTGTACTGATTGCCTTGATGCCCAAGATTGCCTACCCGATCGGATCTTTATTCGTAGGTATATTAATACGAAGAAAAATAATGATCGCTTACCTGCATGAATTAATTTTCATTTCGTTGAACATAACTGAAAATAAATAAAAACTATACTGGTAGGTAAGATTTCAATTTTCCTAAATAGTTTGGTGCCTACAAAAAAATGTACAGTGGTTACATACTTATCATTTTACTGCATCCTAACATACGTAAATGTTTTAGTTTATAATCGTCGACAAAATAATAGTTACTTTCTCAAACCTATCAAATTAATAGATAACATTTTGTTACTTTTAAAGATAGTTTTAGAGAATGGCGCTTCAGAATTGACTCCATTGTATCCAGTGCCTAATACATTATTATTATACCTTTAATTTGTTATTTGGCTCACTTAACCAGATTCGTCAAGAAAATCAGAAAGCTCAAACAATCCCAAATATAAAAATTGTGATCGTAAACTCGCAACCTACAGCTAAACACGGTAATCAAAAAACTTTACACCAAATACCTTTACATTTTATATCCGACACGCGATAAGGACCATCATATTTCTTTCAATAAAAAAGGTGAAACAGTGAAAGTGATGTCTTAGTCATTTTTATTTTTTCGGTAATGTGTTCTTATATGCATTTTTAATGAGTTTTTAATGAATGATAATGAAATGGTAACCCGGCCTGCGCTATCGCGTTACATTGGCGGGGTACTAGTGAGGGATGATTGGTGAGGATGAAAAGGCAGGTCAGTTAGCCTATTGTGATCTATTCAACGATAAATTAGTCAAGATGATTTTCGGGGCCTGGAGGTCGACCTAATAGAGTATGTCGACAGCAATGGGAACTAACTTCCCCATTATTATCGTCTCCTTCCCCCTTTATATGCAGTTGCATCGGAAATTTTGAACCAATTTTGGGGATTCTTTTCTCAGACAATAGTGTCTACACATTTAACATTTAATGTATTTGCTGGTTCTTCATTTCTACCTTTTATTACTTTAGTAACATTTGTGAAATTACTAGTTTGATACGGAATAAAATCAACAACTTTTCAACTTATTGCTATTTGGTTATAAGGCTAAAAATAAACGTCGTGAAACTATATAAATAAATTCTTTACTTATCTAGTGTTACGCTTGTCAAAGAATGAGTATTAATTAAAAAAAAAAATTACCAAATACAACTAAAAACCAATACTTTCAAATAAAACTGCATTAGAAACTATCTGTTTGGAAATCGCAATACCACAGATACGCAGACACTTTGCATCGGGAATTAAAAACCATATGACTTTATTTCAAATTTTTGAAAATTATATAATTTTATAATTAAATGTCGAGATTCGAGTCTATCGTTTTCTGATTTCTAATAACCGAAAAAGATATAATAACTTAGTTAATTTTACTTTGCTTTTGGGTTTTTACGTGATCAACAGAAAGCTATTCTCCGAAATTGAAACGTGAGTTTGTTTACCAGTTATCATACCCAGCTGTCAAATTCATCTCGCTCGTACATCGCCCGTCCGGGGCCGTATTGGTCATCTATTGTTTCTCTCTTAAAACTCGTATATGACAATATATTTTTTGGCAAAATTTCTTATCTTTATTTCTTTTTAGATGTACTCACAACTTCATATTCATATATTTGATTGACTTGTATAAAATTTGCCCTTAATAGACTTAGAATTTGGAGAGGATACTCTCCAAATTCTAAGTCTATGCCAAATTTTGTAAAAATTGCTTAAAACATTAGTATAAGTAATACAACTAGTAAAATATGAGCAAAAGCATTAAAAGGTACACTTTACATTTCTCTGCCTATCGCATAAAGAAATTTAGCCAATGATAGATAATTGCAGTTAATTTAGCAACTTTTGTTATATCATGTATTTAATAATGTTTCTAATTGAAAATTTTCTATTTATTCCATTTTCTTATATTCATTAACAATGGATAATAAGTCGTGAGTAAATGTATATTTTCTGTTTAAAGAATATATTGATTGTTGCCATAGCTAACCTCGAGGGTTCATTAAGTCTCATACGAATAATTAATACCTGATTTGTTCGTCCCAGATACGGATCGCGCATTGCAAGCTGCACTGGCGCCATTGCTAACTGTCTATTTGCATTTGCACATACGTATACCGATGGTTTAGTGCATGTACTAACGTTTTATTATTTTTCATTTATTGCCAATGCTCAGCCAACCTGTCTTCATTACCTTATTTGATTAATGTCTTCTACTGCACATAATTAATAACTACTTTGCCAGTTATTAATTTAAACTATTTTTGTAATCAAACAGTCAATTCAAGAAATGTATATTAAGTCTTAACGTACTGTTTAAAATAAAATAAATAAACTCTTCTTATTCTGATCTATATTTTACTACTGTTACTGGCAATATGTCAGTGTCGTTCTTATATTCTTTAAAATACTCACGTGAATATGTCCTAAATTAATTCCTGTAAAAGGAGACTGATACGCCTCTAGAATTTGTTGTAATACACTGACGTGCATATAGAGAGTCGTTTCACAAATCTTGCGGCATTGTGACGACGAACGGCACGAAGCATGAAGCGTAGCTGATGGACTGCCCCGGCACAAATAGGGACAACAAAATGAACTAACTGTATCTGACAGGATGACCTGAGATGAGGTAGGATAAAGTATAGCTATCTTCTTTCACCATGCTCAATACAAAGCCTATTCATACAAACCAAGCGTCTGTGAATATAATGCAATAGAGATTAGTTATTAATCACTGAGAATTTAAATTGCTGATAATGAATAAAAACGACGTCCGCGGTTGGTGTAAGTTTTACTAATTTCGTGTAGCACTATTCTTTGTTACGTCAGAAACAAATTTACCGTGAATTCGAGTGCTTGCATATTTTATGTAAATGACAAGATTTACAAAAGGTTCTGTTTAAAATTGATTTTGCGAATTATGCCCAAAATTTGACACTGATATTTCATATTTGTCAAATTGAAATATATTGTAATTTTTTTTAGTAAAACGGTAAACCTTTTTATTTTATTTATTTTTTTATTTAGAAAATTTAATTAAGCTGTAAACAGTTAAAGCCTTTAAGTATAGAACAATGAATTATCGAGTGATTTCAATCTAATTATTAATCTTTTAAGTTATGATCTGGAAAAAATCGTTAACGGTATAAATGGGTCAACCATACCGTTACATAATTCGCCCGCGGAGAGCATCCGATGAGAATTGATGCATGATCGAAGATGTGCGGCGCGTTGGCGGGGTGTGCGGCGCGCGGCTGTGGTGCGCTTACGACTCTCACCGCCTTATCTTTCGCGACCTCCGCCGGACGCGCACGCTCGCCGCGCTCCGCATTACAACACCCGCGCCGAGTTCGCGCTATGCCGCCATCCCGACAACAAACCTTTGTGTTCGTTTACTTTTTTCATTTTCGATGTGTAGGACATAGCCCGGAAATGCTTCAGTGATTTATACTTAACACAAACATAGTGCAATTAACGAAACTTGATCATTTTAATAATAGGTCAATAAACTTAACACATACTGACACTCTTCGTCGACGATGGTGTCAGAAGGGGCTCTGCCCGTAGTTTGGTGTATACGAGATAATCAACTTGTGCCTCACCAAGTATCTGGTGTAAAATTACAAGGAGCTGTCACAGGAGCTCATATAGCCGCAGTGACGGACTTTTTACGTATGGTTGCTGGAACTCCCATTGTTTTACCGCATACAGAAATTCCGGAAGATATCGACAATGATATTAATCAAGAGAAAGAAAATTCTACAAGACGACGTAAGATGTCAATGCAAGTGGAAGTTCCTTGTGTTTTCGTTACAGAAAGCGCTCTACAGAAAGCAAAAAGTCGCAGTAATTCTTTAGATGAAAAGGTATTATTTAATAATTGTAACACACCTTCTACTACCAAAAGTTATTTAGAATTAGATAAAAAGTCGAAGTCATTAGAAATGAAGTCAGAAGACTGTAATCTGGTAGGTGAAAATGAATGTATAAATGCGTATACTCAACGTATAACGAGAATAATAGAATTAGATGATATAAATCCTAATGTAAGAAATAATGATGTTGAAAAAGAGCCGTTACAAAGGATAACTAGAATAATTGAGTTCGAAAATAATAAAATACCATCGCCAGTATCGAGTACTGATGTAGAAAATGAAATTCCGCAAAGAATCACGAGAATAATAGAATTGAATGAAGATAATTCCTTCACTACTATTACTAATAATGGAGATTTAGACAAAGAATGCCCTCAGCGATTAAGTAAAATTATTGAATTGGAAAAAAAGAATTCTTTTCCTAGTATGACAAAAATAATAGAAATGGAAAACGAAATATCGAATGAAAGAAGAATTTCTCTTACAAACGAACGAGAAACTGGTGGCGGAATCATAGAAAGTTATACCGAAGATATAGTTGTTAGATCTAAATTATCACAAAAAAGTACCCCTAGGATTAGTATTGATTCTTCATGCTCCGAAAACTCTTATGTTAATATTGATTGCTTTAAGAGTTTGCAGGATGTAAGAAAAGAAGAAATTATAGATGGTGGTATAAGCCCAGAATTATCACCGGCTTGTAGATCTGTACGTTCTAGATTTCCAAGAAAGAAAACCTCTGTATGTTCGATTGGCTCCTCGGACTATGATGAGGTAGATGTTATTTTTAAATCTAAACCTAAATCTAGTCAGTGGTTGAGTCTCGATTGGATACCGCCACCGCCCAAAGAAGAGCCAGTGATAACGCAAGTCTGTGATAAAAATGATTTTATAACAAAATGGATAGCGGAACAAAATTCTCAAGACTCTGGTATTGTAGCAGATGAAAGACGCAAGAGTCTTCCCCCAAAATCAAACGAAATATATCTTCAAAATATGAGAAGATTTAGTGATGGATTACAAATATGTAAAGAAGATGCAGCTAGCGATTCTCCAGCCACAGTTAAATGGAAATGGCATGATATTGTAAAAAGACACCTTCAACTATTGAAAAATGATAAAGGATTTAGAAGACAAAGAGGAAGTTGGATGAGAACAGCCCGCCGATTATCCGGCACTAACGTAAATAATAAGAACATAGAACTGCCACTTGAAACATATATGAAACTGAACAGTATGCCGTAAGTACTTATTTCTAAAATTAGAAACTATAATAAACACAATATATTTTTTTAGAATGTACTTATGTGATTGTGTGAAATTTTGGACTTGCTATTGCAATTGGTCCACTTACTAAAATTTACCGGAGTAGCGATATAACTGGTTATACCATAGATTACTACCAAATGGATACCTGATAGCTATCCATAGCTTATTCTAATAATTCATTATGTTTACATTGACTTTATATCTTTTGTACTTGTGTACTTTTTATTGCTAGAACATTCGATTACATTAAAAAAAACTATCTATAAAATAGACTAAACTTTTATATGTAGTTTTACTACATATAAAAGTTTACTACATATAAAGTATACTACATATAAAGAAGGACTTAGTCCTTCGTACCCAGAATACTTGATTTTCAGTTCATTTTATATTTTAACTGATTGATGAATTTCGATAGACGGGTTAGTGCAGTAGAATAGATAAAATTAGTAAATCTCGGATGCTGTTATTGATAAGACGCCGGTTGAGCCGTATTACGAGATCGGGCCCGAAGCACGCGCTTCCGCAAGGCCGTCCGATTAGAATGCAGGGAGCTCGCGTCCAAGGCTACGAGTCTGCGGTCGGTCGCTGCACCGGCGGCCGCTGACTTCCTCAGCACTTCGGCGATTGTAAGCCATCGCAGGAAGTAACACGTCGCGAAGGTGACGCTACAATATTCAATCGCCGAACAATCGGAAGCGATTGTGATTTGAATTTTTGAAGTACTGCGTGTTCGTGATTTTGTGCGCTTCCTTAACCCTCGTGAATAATTAGCATGTAGATGATTTTAGACATTTTTTTGCGTATTGACAACCGCAGGGTGACACCGTAACTACATCTAACAAACGATTTCAAAATATACTACTACTACACATTTTACTAATATAATACAGTTCTGTTCCTAAAAGTCTTACTTAAAAACTAGTGTAGATTTATCTTGATACATCATTTACAAGTGGTCTATTTCTTTAGGTTTCCTACTTCGGAAATCCACACGTACAAAATAGCTGGTAAAAAACTAGTTAATTAATATAATCTTAGTAGAAATTTTGATGATAAGTGAAAAGTGATGATAGCTGCACATTACATTACATTTGCAAACTAAGAAATGTAAACGGATAACGGAACTGGAAAATTTTATATGTCGGATGTTGCCGTTTCACTAGTTGAACTTGAGGGTCACTGTTACACAAACTAATAACCATATTTGCTATACCTATATCATTATCTGCAAGTTTACTCGCCAGAGTGAGGATATTTCTAAGATAATCTGCAAAGTATAAAATACAAAGTTCATAATTATGACATCCCTGGTATTTGCTGTCTGATTTCCCTTAATGCATTTACATTGAAAAGTCCAAACGACAAGTGTACCTTTGTTTAACTTTTACTACCAACTGTATCATCAGTATTCAATATATTAAACATTTCCTAATCCAACTAAGAAATTGATCAGTAAACTGAGAAATAATATCTAAATGATTCCCATAAATTTTCTCAATTTGTATTAAAAACACATTAAAAGAAAAATACTACTGTTTTTCAATACTAATTATTATTAATTCGTGGTTAACGTTTCATTATCTATGTGTATTCTGAAAACACAAGTGTTGTGTTAAATGTTCATCAACACGGCCATTGTAACGAATGAGTGTACAACCGCTTTATAGATGAAACAAACTCACATTCACATCGAAATATTTGCTTGTTTTGTACATCTGAAATTTGTTGATGCGAAAATGTATATTATAGTCATTCTTGGGATAGACAATTTATAAACCATATAGAGGTTTTAATAAAACTTAAAATTCACATTAAACTGACCCTACGTTATTTTGTTGATTGTAGAATTTTTAATAGGGTACGCAGAGAAAATAGAGCGATAAAAGTATCTATCCTTACTGGTATTATTTGTTTTAATACATCTTATACATACGCCTTAGTTCAAAAGTCTCTTGACCCTTTCCTCAGATAATATATGAATAAATTTATATAGGACATAGATGTATTAAATCATTATCATCATATTAAAAAAATAACTTCTCACTACTTACTGGTCACGAGTTCCATGAGGGAATAACAGAGTAAAATACTGTTATCACCTGCTATTTTCAATATTGGCCAAACGGCTTGATATAAGGTTTTATTTTGAATATTCTTTTTCACTAATGTATTGTTCTTCATATTTTCTATATAATTTACCTCTTGTAATATTCTGGTAATACGTTTTATTCCTACGCTGTCACTAATGAAGAAAATGAAACCAAAAGAATGAAATTATTACGTCTTTTTTCTAAACTCTCTATTCCTACATGTCTCATGTATATCACTTAAACTCTTCGCTTTCAAGAGCCTCTAACCTAGCTTACTTATTTTGTATTATTCATATTATTTTTTATATCACATATTGTTAATAAATATAAATACTCATACATATTCCGATAACCAGTATCAATCACTTTAGATAATATTGGATGATTATTTGCTGTGATTATTTGATTAGATATATAATATACAAATAAATAAATTATTCGAATTCAAAACTTCTAGAGGTGTAGAAAGTGTATACACGAGTGAGTAAAACAGAAATAAACGAGTAAATAGAACATATTACATAGTTATAAAAAGTGACGAATTAATTGATTCTCTCTCCTTACAATCCTTCTATTAGTAGAGATTCGAAATCAATTTAAAAACTATAAAATGACATTCATTCTTTGATGACAAACTTGATTTTCTAGTTTAAGTGCCTTGTCTCTTTGAAATTATTAAATTAAAAAAAAAAAAATCTGCTAGATAAATAGTGTATTGGTTACGAGTGTATCGTACTATGGTGTTAAAAAATTTAAAAGTGAAGTTTCGTGATGCCGCCTCATCATGCATACAGATTTGGCCTTCGAAATTGAAAGGAAACGCATTTGGAATCAAAAGTAACTGGATAATTATCCTTAATATATATATTATTTACTGTAATAAAACATAGTATGCCTTTATATTTTGTCACTTAAACATAATTTCCAACTCAGTTGCAATGTACATGTATTAATAGTTTATTGTTTCAATATTAAGAACATTAATCTCAAGAGGTATTACTCTTTATTTCCTTTACTGAGTTCTTTGTTCAGTATTTCTTGAGTTATTACTATGTGAGGGATTTCTGTTCCGTATGATATTACAATTTTCCATTAAACATAATACCACCTGTATACCCACTTCAAATAATCTCAGTTTTGTTACAGTAATAATATTATAACTTATGACCTGTAGCCTAACAATGCTGTAATTTGAGTAGCACGATAATAATAAAACGTTTAAAATTGTATAATAACAATTACTATTAGTTCACTTTCACTGTGCCAAACGCAATAATTTAGGTTCCGTTTCGTGACGTCTCTCAGTTCCGTTAAATTAGGTTCTTATTTATTTCTTTTATGTATTAACTCACTTTCTAGTAAAATATATAATACACTATTAAAAAAAAATTAATCGCATAAAACGTTTCTTGTACTTTCTGAACTTCACTAGAATTAAACCATTAACTACCTCGACTTTACTCGAAGTTTTTATCCAGCCATAGTTTTCAACTCTGCGAATCTTATGTACTAAATGTATCATATATATGGTAATAGATAGTATTATACTAATTTATAAATGTAATTGTTTTGCAGAATCAATAAGATTATTGGTTTATAAACAACGTTCACAATAAGTATCTCTATCATTGGTAACGAAAAAGTTTAACTCTTCAATAATGAAAATTTCATTAAGGTCTATGTCAATCCTATACTTTAGAGCGTGTTCGCAGGCATGCTTGGTAACTCTTTAAGTCTAAAAATCGTATAAATCTTTAAATTCTTAACCAATTTGTTTAGTTATACAAACTCGAGCATTATGCCTCTACAATTTAAATCATTAGCATACTTATCTGCTTATATTCGCAAATACTGAATAATTATTGACAACAACGTATTTCTTTAAATTTTAAACGACAGTTGCCTTTTGTAAAAACCAGTTCTTGGCCTTTCAAAATAATCATATCCTATGGGGTGTCTTTGTCTCGATAACAAGTTCCGGAGGAATAATGATTTATTGTATATAAGACTGAAGGAATTAAAATAATAACATTTTTTTGCAATATTTTGACAGTATTGGACAAATGAATTTGTTTACGTTACTTATCCAATAGTGATAGTGCCGTCTACGCTAAACTTATTGCTGCATTGTATACCAATAACAAAATATTTAAAAATATTATTATGACGAATGAATATTAAATCCTTTTAAATCTAATGTCTTTGTTAAAAGTTATAGACACGTGTTAGTAAATCTCTGGAAATGACTCGTTCCCTTATCACAGCGTTTGGCGGAGGTCGTCTCTTGCGAAAGAACAATACAACAGGTTTTATGATTTGTTTTTACTTTTTATGCGCGTTGCGGCTGCGCACGCCGACCTCCGTCGATAATTATTGCTATTGCGGATGTTTTCATACACGCCATTTTCGAAAATTTGACTCAGTTTTTTAACACCGAACGCTTCAGTTATTGTCAATGAATATTACTTTATTTGTATTTTGGAATAAATGGCACAACTCGTAGTAAGTTCTGCGAATCATATTTAATCAAGTATACTTATCGAGTCGAAGGTACTAGTTTCTTTGATAATATCGTCCAATGACTGATTGAATGATTGGCGGTAAACAATTGATGACTATCTCAGGCCTAAGCGTGGAATAATTAATGTTGTACAGTAAGTACATACAGGACATTTTATACTTCGTATCATATCCTTAACTAGTCGTCAAAAGGTACTTATATTTAACGACTTATTGTGAACTTTGCTAAATAGTTTTTGCAACGTTGCCATAATGCCAAATGATAATTTTTAAATGACGTTCCCTTAGTCTAAGTATTAATATTATTATTATTTATACATAATATATAAATAATACTGTCTAGGCAATTCTATCCATAA